GGGTGGTTGGCCTTCGCCTATTGAAGGAAGGCCTCTAGTTGACGTCGGTGACCTTGTCGGTGGAGGAAGCCAAAAGTGGAGTAGGTCAAGATTGACCGAACCACTCTAAATCTCGGTTTGCATTTCCTTTGAGCATTTTACCTTCACTGCAAACTTCTTAATAGCTTACTACCTTCCGTGATTTTACGAACGAGTTTCTAAGTTCAGAATTTTCCGAATCTGCGTTTAGACGTAAATCGACTTTTCTCGTACGATCATCATATTTCAGTTTACGTTTACGTTTTGATTTCAATCATAACTGTTTACTGCCTTCTGCGATCTTACGAATAAGTTTCTAAGTTCAGAATTTTTCGAATCTACGTTTAGACGTAAATCAGCTTTTCTCGTACGATCATCATAATTCAATTTACGTTTACGTTTTGATTTCAATCATAACTGTTTACTGCCTTCTACGATCTTACGAATAAGTTTCTAAGTTCAGAACTTTCTAAATCTGCACTTAGACGTAAATCGGCTTTTATCGTACGAACGTCGTATTTTAGTTTGCGCTTGTATTCTGCTTTCCATCATAAACTGCAAACTACCTTCGTAGATCTACTTTAACGTCATCTCGCTTAATCTTAAGTTAAAGTAATCTTAGAATCGGCTTTCACATCGAAATCATTTTTATCGAACGAACGCAGCTTTCGTTTTAATCGCTGAAAATTTTCCGCTGCACTAATTCACCCCCCCCTCTTAGTGCTCTTGATCCTAACATGTCTCTCATGTTTCTAGGTGGTAGTACAACCTAGATTGGGTAATGGTACCGCCAGTAGTTAATGCTGCAAGCGGTGGTACCGCTATGACCCTAGAAACCCGGGACGAGACATTTTTTTGCTCTATTTTTGAAGCCATTTAGGGCCTATAAATACCCCACTCATTCTTACTTAAGAGAGTAAAAAAAGTGAATGAAAAGGCTAGTGATTCTGAGTTATAAAGTCTTAAAAAGTGCTTAGTATCCCCCTCTTCATCGTTAAAGTTCCGAGCTTATTCTAAAAAAGGAATAAGACTTGTAAAGGTTCTCTCCTGTGAAAAAAAAAAAAAATATTATAAATAGGGTAGTTGGTCTTCACCCATTGAAAGAAGATTGTTAGTGAATGTCGGTGGTCTCGACGGAAGAGGAATCAATAGTAGACGTAAATCGCGATGACCGAACCACTATAAATTTTGTGTGCATTTCCTTCATGCTTTTCATTGCCATTACTTATTGATTGAATTGTCTACTATTCTCACTTGCTCTCTAAGTTTAAATGCATTTCTGATACGGTTTCATCGTTTGAAATTTTTAAAATCGTAACTTTACAAAAGCACTAATTCACCCCTCATTCTTAGTGCTGTTATGATCTTAACAATTAGTGGTCAAATGTTTCAACTAAGAAAAATGTATCGATTATGAAGAAACCTTTGCTCACGTAGTAAGACTTGAAACCATAAGGATACTCCTTGCCTATGCATGTTGTAATAATTTTAAGTTATTTTAAATGGATGTCAAAAGTGCTTTTTTTAATGGCTTTATTTTCAAAGAAGTTTATGTTGAGCAATCACCTAGATTTGAGAATGTTCTTCTTTCAAACCATAATTTTAAGTTATCTAAGGCTCTCCATAGATTAAAACAAGCCCCAAGGGCTTGGTATGAGAGACTTAGTTCATTTTTTATTAAGAGTGACTTTTTGAAAAGTAAGGTCGATACCACATTATTGATTAAATATTTTAAAAAATAATTTTTTTATTATTTAAATTTATGTTAATGATATTATTTTTAGTTCTACAAATGAGTCTTTGTGTGAATCTTTTGCCAAAAGTATGAGCCAAGAATTTAAAATGAGTTTAATGAGTGAATTAATATTTTTATATAATTAAAAATTAAGCAACTAAGTGATGAAACTTTTGTTAGTCAAACTAAGTATGCTTTAGATCTATTAAAACAATTTCATGTGGATAGTGCTAAGGCTATTAACACACCAATAAGTACTTCTACAAAATTAGATATGATCATGATGGAGAATATTTTGATCAAAAGATTTATAAAGGTATGATATATAATTTACTATACCTCACAACAACTAAACTTGATATTATATTTAGTGTTGGACTTTATGCTAGATTTTAATCTAATCCCAAATAATCTCACTTTAAAGCATTTAAAAAGATTTTTAGATATTTAAAAGAAACTCCTAATATAGGATTATGGTATCTAAAATCTAAAAATTTTGAATTAATTGCTTATACTGATGCTAATTTTGTTGGATAAAGAATAGATAGAAAAAACACATCAGGAACATGTCAACTCCTATGCACTTGTTTCTTGGTCTTCCAGACTAAATATGTAGTAGTAGATGCATGTTGTGCATAAGTTATTTGGATGAAGAACACTTTAGAAGACTCTGGACTTTATTTGTAAAATATTTCTATAAAATATGATAATACTAGTATAATATGTTTAACAAAGAATTACATTCAACATTCTAGAACTAAACACATTGATATTAGATATCATTTTATTAGAGATCATGCTTTATGTCAATTAGCAGATATTTTTACGAAACCATTGAATAAAGAATAATTCGATTTTATTAGAAAAGAATTAGGCATGTTAAATCTTCCAAATGCATGCATTCTTCTAATATATTTTTCGGATCATTATCTTGATTTCTTGGTTTTCATAACTTTAGTTTTCTTTTTGAATCAAGATCATTTCCTGTCATTCTTTCTTCTTGCTAATTACAAAAGAAAAGATTTATCAAAAATAACTTATGATTTTTTAGTATTCATGATTTGATCTTTCATTTTTTATGTGATGATTGAAACATTAATGTAAATTTTTGCATAATTGAGTCCTTCCCTTTTTTTTTCTTTGATAACGACAAAAGGGAGAAAGAGAAGTGCTATCTTGTATAAGCAAAAATTGTTAGCTTGCCATCTCAAGAAACAAAAAGTGCTAACTTGCATATCTTAAGAGAAGCAAACCTTGTTAGCTTATATTTTTCTCCTTTGTATATTTCAAAAACTTGCTAGTTATATATTTCTTCTTTTTGTTGATGACAAAGGAGGAGAGGTAATGATGAATGATTTAAATTTTTTAATGTTTTGATATTATGCCTAAAGTGATGATAATTTAAAATTTTATGTTTTGGAATTATGCATATTATGATGATTTGGAATATAATACTTTTAACTTATGATGATATATGTAATGATATGCATATAAAGTAAGTAATGATTACTTTGATATGATATGTTACATATGATCATTATGATTCATGATTAAAATTATTTTGACTTGAATTCAAAAATATTATGATTAAAAGGTTATCATTTTTCTGAATTCAAGTTTATTTCGATATGATATATAGATAGGGAGAGTTTAGTTAAACTTCGTCATCAATTGGTTCTCATCATAAAAAATGGTGAGATTGTTGAATCTCCGATTTTGATGATGAAATCAATTGATAAGTTTGTGATATAATCAACGTTTGAGAAAAGTGATGTATGACTAACTTCGATCATAGAAAGACAAAACGATTGAAGTAGAATAATTAGATGTTGGGCGGAAGTCAGAGATCGGACATCGTGTTGAAAGAATTGAACATTGCGCTAAGATCGGATGTTGCGGGAGTCAACATGCTGATTAATCGGGCAATACGTCGAAGGAAAGCACGATGCATCGGGAGTTCGAGTGGACTAATGATATGTCGGACAATATAGAATTCTTGTCTTGTAATTATTTATTTAAATATTTATTCTATAAATTAAAAAATATTTTTTAAAAACTATTATTTTAGAAAAAAATTCAAATAATTTGACTTTATTACAGTATTTTTGACATATTTTAAAAAAACACTATAATTCTATTTCAAAGCACTATAACACAATAAAAAATATGCTAAAAAATATTTTAAAAATATTTATGAATCTAACTTATGTATCTTTATAAAAAAATTAGAAAAAAATACTTATGATTCATAAACCAAATATAAAAATCAACCTAAAAAAGTTTAATTATTATATTTTTTATACAAAGCTATAGTATTTTCAACAATATCATAAATTTTGTAACATAATAGAAAAAAATATAATAAAAAAAGAGAAAAAAAGGATTTATTTACAAAGAAGGGCTACTATAAAAATACATCTTCGTGACAAAGCTTTAAAAAAAATTTCTGAAAAATCGCCCAAATAAACCCAAAATCATATATATGCTTTCCAAGGTATTTGTCTAAGTTATGGCTCCACAATTAACTTCTCATCCTTCTCAAAAGATTCCCGTCTCTCGCCGCCCAAACTAACGATATTATAGTCTTTGAAATGAAAACAATAAACAAAACGGGACGTATGAACCCTATAGGGGCTTCGAGATTCTTACTCCGGCGGCCATGGACCATCCCAAAACCCTCGATCTCGTCAAGGAGCTTGTCCTCCGCCTCCTCTCTGCTGTCGATTCTCCCTCTTCCGACGCCATCGATGAGCTTCCCCGAGCCCTCCGCTTCGCTCACCGCCTCCTTTCCAGCCGCATGGCACCTTCCCTCGCTCCGGATGAGCTCGTACTTGCCGAGACAATCAAGCGCCAGCTCGCCGCCTGCGGTCGCTCCTCTGACGCCCTGGCCTTCTCCGACCTCCGCACCAAGCTCTCGGCCCGCTCCTCCGCTCCCGGATCCATCCGCAACCGTTGGGCCCTCCTCTACCTCCTCAAATCCCTGTCCGACGCCCGCCGCCGCGAACCCCTCCTCCCGTCTTCAGCGACGACCGGCCTCCCTGCCCTCCCCCTCAACCCTCAGCCGAGCCACCAATCGCCTCTTGCCGCCAAAAAAACCCTACCCCCGTCCTGCGGCATCCTGCTCGTCTCCAAGGATCCAGATAACATTCGTGAGATCGCACTCCGAGAGTACGGTGATATAGTCATGGACGAGACTGAGGTCTCGGAATCGGCCCTCGTGAGGGATATCCTCTTTGTTTCCCAGGGTATCGATGGGCGGTATGTGAGGTTCGATAAGGTGTCAGACCGCTATGAACCTCCGGATTTGCTGAAGCTGCCAAGATCCATGAGAACGATGGTCTGCAAGCTCTCTGAACTCGGATGGCTCTTCCGGAAAGTCAGGGGTTATATCACTGAGAGCATGAGCTGCTTTCCTGCTGAGGAGGTTGGTACAGTCGGCCAGGCCTTCTGCTCTGCCCTCCAGGATGAGCTTTCAGACTACTACAAACTTTTGGCTGTGCTTGAGTCCCATTCTCTGAATCCGATCCCGACTCCTGGTTCCGTTTCGGGGGTAACAGTGAATTACCTGTCCTTGAGACGGCTTGCAGTCTGGCTCGCTGAACCCATGGTTAGGATGCGATTGATGGCAGTTCTAGTTGATGGGTGTCGATCTCTTAGAGGTGGAGCAATGGCTGGTGCAATACACGAGAGGGCACAGCATGGGGATCCATTGGTACAGGAGTTCATGGGTTGTCTCCTCCGGAGGGTCTGCTCACCTTTGTTTGAGATGGTCCGGAGTTGGGTCTTGGAGGGGGAGTTGGAGGATACATTTGCGGAGTTCTTCATACAGGGCCAAGCTGTAAAGGCCGAGTCTCTATGGCGAGAAGGCTACCAAATCCAGTCTGCTATGCTGCCTTCTTTCATTTCTCCTGCTCTGGCACAAAGGATCTTGCGGACAGGAAAGTCCATCAATTTCCTCAGAGCTTGCTGTGAGGACAATGGTTGGGCTACTGCTGCTGCTGAAGCAGCAGCTCATGTTGGGACCACTACTAGGAGGGGTGGGCTTGTGTATGGGGAGCCAAATGCTTTAGAAGCACTTGTTGTCGAGGCAGCTAAGCGGATTGATCGTCATTTGATGGATGTGATTCACAAGCGGTATCGGTTCAAGGACCATTGTCTAGCAATCAAAAGGTACTTGCTTCTTGGTCAGGGAGACTTTGTGCAGTATTTGATGGATATTATAGGCCCAGAGCTATCAGAACCAGCCAACACAATCAGCTCATTCCACTTGTCAGGGTTGCTAGAGATGGCAATCCGTGCATCCAATGCACAGTATGATGATTGGGATATTCTAGATCATTTGAAGGTAAAGATGATGGAGCATGGTGATGGTAATAGGGGATGGGATGTGTTCTCATTGGAGTATGATGCGACAGTGCCTCTGGACACAGTATTTACTGCATCTGTCATGAAGAAGTACCTCAAGATTTTTAACTTTCTATGGAAACTAAAACGGGTTGAGCACGCATTGATTGGAATATGGAAGATGATGAAACCAAATTCCATTATTTCTTGTATTTACACCGAAGAAGGTGCAGCAGTTAAGGCACAGTTTGTCGCTGTTCTACGAAGGTGCCAAGTACTGTGGAATGAAATGAACCATTTCGTGACAAACTTTCAGTACTATATAATGTTTGAGGTTCTTGAAGTTTCATGGGCACATTTCTCAGAAGAAATGGATGCTGCAAAAGATTTAGATGATCTTCTTGCTGCTCATGATAAGTATCTTAACTCAATTGTGGAGAAGTCTCTTCTAGGGGAGCAATCTCAGGGTCTTATTAGGATTCTGTTTGTTCTATTTGATCTTATACTGCGGCTTCGAACCCATGCAGAGAGGTGGTTTGAAAGCATCTTTCAGTTGCAGCTTAGGTGACTTTGGATTAGTTTATTCTATGAAGTTGTAAAGTGTTTGTTTAATCTTTTCTCTGACTCAGTTTGTCCTTGGTATCTTTCACAGAGGGAAGAGCAAATTAAAGACAAAACTGAAGGAGCCAGGTTCATATCCTGATGTGGGTAGAAAAGCCATAATGCAACTTGCTGGAGAATTTCTACAGCGCATGGGTGAAGACCTTGACAAGATTGCAAAAGAGTATTCAGCATCACTTGATGCTTTTATCTCTCAGTTGCCCATGCAACAACATGTTGATTTGAAGTTCCTTCTCTTTCGTCTAGACTTTACCGAATTTTATAGTCGGCTTTCCCCTAGCAAGTAAAATTTGGGCATACTGCAGAAGAAGCAATGCGAAAACAGTGATGTCAGTTGTTCTTTCATGTGCAACTTACGAGATTACTGGCCATTTCAGACTGTTGATTGTATATCATTTATTTAACAAACATAAAGGTCAATTTCTAGTCTTCATATTACAATGCGTTCTACATTTGAAACTTCTTTTACTTTTTCATTGATCTTTCTGTTTAAATGGGATATTTATTAGCCTTTTTTTGGTTGCAGATATTAAGCTTTTCATTCCACGAAGAATCACATAATGAGGTTAAGGTACGCTTTTAGTTGTGGTTTTATATTTGGATATGCTGATGTACATGTCATGTATTTGATGGTTTTATTATGTCTTTGGATTTGTCGAGTGATGGTTATGAGGATTTTCTTCCCAAGCTTGTATTTTCTGATGAAATATGTGATTCTTTTAGTAAATGATGGAATCTACCATTTGCACGATCCTTTACTAAGTTATTGTCCATTTCCTCTTAATGTTTGCTTCAGTTGGACTTCTTGATGTTGATGCCTAAAGCTTTTTTTTTTTCCAAAAAGATAGAAACTATATTAAGTTAGATGTCTATAAAAGCCAAAGCTTTGCGCATCAGAGTTCAAAAAACAAGCAAAACCCCGTGGCTAGTCAGATCTCTTCAATTGGACCACCTGATTACATCTTGCAAAAGTAACCAGTGAGCACATTGGTTAGCCTCCCAAAATCCATGAGAGATTTTACAAGTCTGCAACTTGTTTAGGTTGTTAAAGTTGTTTCTAACACACACACAGTATATATTCAAGGAGGTGGTCCCTCATGATTGAAGACTCTTAACAATTTGAAGAGCATCAGTTTCAATGTCAACTGGTTGGGAACCCTCAGCTATTGCAGCTTGATCCCTCCATCCTTCAAAAATTTACATCCTGCCAGAAGGCATTGATCATCTTCTGCTCTGAGTATGGAGCTAGCCTCACTCGTCAGTGAATGAACAATAAAAGTCCTATTAGTATTCAGCTTGATCCATCTCCTAGGGGTTTAGTCCACTGCACTAGAATGTGCTCCATCCTTAAATTCCTATAACCTTGGTCTCCCTGATTGCAATGGAACGACCTTACCATTGTACTCAGACCTGCTCTCTAATTAATAATCTAATAAAAAATAAATTTGTTATCTATAATTTTTACAAAATAAAAAGTAGTTTAAGCTTGTTTTTGGTCCAAGAATTGATAAATTTGAAATTATTTTATGGAAAAAGATTAAAGTTTCTAAAGAAAATGTTTAACCGTTAAAGGCCAAATGAAATTAGGATGTTTTAACTTTATTTGTTTAATAAAATTATTTGTGTCTAGATTTTCTAACCATAATTATTTAATAAGGTTTTGAATTTAACCCTTGTTAATTTATGATTTAGGATCTAGATGCGTCACTCATCATTTCCACATCTTTTTGGATGATCTCTGAGGTTTAAAGCCATATTTGATAGTTTGGTCAATGAGTTATAAATCTTTACTGAGAAATATGATTGGAGATTAAAGATACTGACAAAAGGATGAGAATGAGAACAAAGTGACACTACAAAACATAGAAGTGTTCTTTTGTGGGTGCTTTAATTTTGCTTATGCGTATGGTTGTGTTGTCTTGTGCTAGACAAGAAATACAGAAGTCCACAATTGATCCATTTGACTTTCAATTTTATAATAATGGCTTGTATTCGATGATTAATTGGGTGTACAAGGTGGAGAGTTTAGGTAATCCACCTTTGGATGTGGTAGGAGATCCTCTACGTCCATCATGTTTTATCTTTGAGGCAGTCAAGCAAGATCAATGATAAGGATCATAGGAGCCTCAAGAAGAGCTCAACTAAACCAAGACAGATGGTTAAATAGGCAACATAGTTGATAGTATGAGATGTGGTGAAAAACTTTGGGATGCCTTAGAACATCATCACTGATTGAGATTCAAAATTCTTTAGATGATTTTGGAACTGTTTGGTGCCAAACTATATTTCTCCATGAGTCCACATCCTCAAATTGTCAACCAAAAGAAAACAAATAAATTCTCTTTTGGAGTAATTTCTGTGACACTATGCAAGTGCCAACCAAAGAGATTGGGTGAAGCTATTGGATGTAACACACCTAAGTGATAGTGTATTAAATACACTCACCAAAGATTGATGATTAAAACATTATCTGATAAATTTTATAGTAGACCTGCTTGCCAAAGGTTCAGGGTTCACAATTTTATTCGACAAATTTTATGCCTAAAACATGTTTTAGTCTAGTGGTGGTGTACCTAACTAATTTAGCAAAGGTAGAGAGTTCGAGATAAACTTTTGAGGATATCATCTAGCTTAGCTAGTAATTAGTCTGATATCAAGATCTTGGGATCAAATTCTGTCTACACTACTTATAATTTGTAAAAAAATAAAAAAAGAAAGTAATTACATAGGAAGTTGCCCCTCGTCATATCATCTCGACAAAAGATGACATCAAAATGTAGAGATAGCTCGGGCACTTCCCCTCAACTTATCATCTCTCCAAGGAATGACATCAAAATGCTCGCCAAGGAATGAGATCGAAGTGTAGAGATAGCTTAGGCATACATGGAGAAGGTTGCTAAGAAAATAAAGAAGGGGGCCAATCTGGAAATGCAACCTCCATAATTCAAAATTGGTGGCCTTGTGTTGGTCAACCTTCACTTGTCATCTCTTCAATTCTTCAAGCAAAGAGTGCACAAAGGATTGGTGTGCAAATATAAAGGCCCTTTTCCCATCATTGCAAGGGTAGACAATGTTAATACACAATGTGTTCAGCTCTTGACATGGTTCATAGTCCACAATGTGTTCCATGCAAACAATTTAAACGCCTACCACTTTGAACCACAAGACCAAGGAACATATGAACACATCCACCCTACACAAGGATGTCTTACAAGCCATGAGTTGAAGCCATTTTGGCGGATTGTATGTGGAAGCTTCCAGACGGAGCAGAACAAAGTAGTTGGCAAAGTGGCATAACCTTCTAAAGACACAAGCAGGTTGGGAGTTGGAGGATACCCTTCACCATTGAAAGACATCATCATGACATATCGACACACATTGATGAAGGCATCAATAGCTTAAGTGGATGAGAGTGTCACGGATAGTTGCAACGAGTTTGCAGCGATAGCACCTTTGTTGTGCAAGTAGTTCTGCTATTGTTCATTGTTAACTTTTCTTGTATGATGTAAATACTAAGGCCTATAGTTAGCCCAGCAGCCTAATTTTGCATACAATTTGCTTTGTCCTTGTATGGACAGTTTGTAGGTCATTCTCTCGATTGAACTTGCATTGGACCAAAATAAGCCAAAACAACCTTGTTTGCCTCTACTGCTATAGTGCTTTAAAGTGTTGGTTTTGTGGGCTGAAATGTCAGCCATATCAACACCTAGGAACCCTTGGGTGGCACCTAGCTAGAGGGGGCTCCTAGATAGTGTATGAGAGAACTTCGACAATCACTCGAGTCTATTTGCTGTGTGCTTCACTGGCATTATGCTCCATCAAGCTCTTTGACACCCTGTGTGCGTTGGAGTTTCTGACTTGTGGTTGCTTTCTTAGGCCATAACAAACTTCTGGTCGTCCAATTGGTTGTTTAGTTTGAAGGGTGACAATGACACTTTGCTTGTCACTTGCCTATTCGTGTAACTCATTTTCTTCTTTGTAGTTCCTTGTAACCAAATAAGAGGTTGCAACTAAGTTGACTCTTCTGTGTTTCTTTGGTGCTACATAACTTAGGTAATTCAAGCTAAATCCATGACACAGAACCAATACTACGTTTTAGAGGTTGTGTCGCATCATGACCCTGCAACAACAAACCCTTATTTTCCATCTGACCAGTGGGCATCTTAATGTCATATGCAACTTGGAGTCCCTAGATTCTATTGTCCTTATCTCTAGGAAGGTCCTCTCCTCTGTTTCTGAATCCAAGGTCCACGTAGAGTCCTCATTCTCATGAGTCTACTTCCTGGAAAGTTGCTGCAGCATTCCAATCCGAGTGGCAGCCCCTGTCTAAGGATCATTGGCATTACTATCGTGGTTTCAAACTTGTGGTTGCCTTCTTTGGCCTTAACAAACTTCTTGTTAGTCAGTTGGTTCTATTTGAAGGGCGAGAATGACACTTTGTCTGTGACTTGCCTCCTTGAGTGACTCCTTTTCTTCTTTGCAACTCTTTGTAACCAAAGAGGTTGCAACAAGGTTGACCCTTTTGCAAGTAGGTGTCGCTTGGGTGCTGCACGACTAACGGTCATTGGCCTCATTGTATCGTGGTGGGAGCAGTAACCCTGCCTTGAGGAACTTTCAAACAGTCTGTTGCCAATACATTCACATTGGAAGCAAACTGGGATAAATTCTTATAATCAATAATTTGAAAGAAATCAACTTGTGCTCTACCAAATCCATAATCCTTTTTTCAAGTGTTTGGATTAATTAAGTTGTACATACACTCGGACAAAACTATCCCTCTCAAATCGAAGGGAGCACTCATCAACTGAGAGGCCAACCGAGCACAACCACGATGGTTGAGAGGGATTTGTGACTCCATTAATTCTAAGGCAACCCAGGTAATTACAGCCGAATTGGTGCCATGCACATAGATTCTATCAAAGGCTGTAAATCTGATCGCCATGGCATTGGTTGGATGGCTTGACCTGGAAAAATCCAAGACCCACCCATAAGAACCAAAAATGCATCCTTCTCTGTTGCAAATCTAAGCAGAATGAAACCAGTCTACATGTCAAGAATCTTAGGCGCCTGAGTTATCTTCCATAAACCACAAATGGCATATTTAATAATCTCCATCAGCAGATGTCACCTGAGGAATTGATCCACTAGACTATAGGTCCAAGGCCTTCACATACGCCATTAACTTGTCATCATCAGAGGCCAGACTCTTAATCTTTTCAAATTTAGGGCTGGTGAGAATTCTCATTCCAGAATCATGTTGGTGATGTCGACCTGAGAGCACTTTCACCCAAGTCAATGGGGTCTTGTTATTGCTGAGGAAACTTTACCCTTGGTAGCCATGTTGGTCTTAACCTTCCCAGCAGTGGCTTTGTGAGGAGAATCCGTATGCTGACTAGGGAGCTTGGGATGTGAAACATTAGAGGAAGCAGGGATGGGCCCAGAGGCAGGAGCAGATGCCGACACCATCTACATAAAAGTTCTGCCCGATGGATATCATCTTTGGCTGGAGAGTTCACTTCAAGAATTTAAACATTGTGAGGTGGTCTATCAGACAACCTCAGGATCACCCCAACGACCAGTTGAGAATGTCCCTTACAGTCTCTATCTTGGAAGATCAAAGCCATTAATTATGCTCTGATCTTGAAGCCTTGTGACTGAGTTGCCTATCTCCTTGGCACTCAAGGACAAGATGTACGAGCCTAAAGAACAGAACCTGTTCAAGTAAGGTCATGACTATGCAGTAATTTAGTTCCAAAATTTACATTTTGTTTTAAACCTTGTATCAAGCAGCATTTGTATCGGAAACAGCTTGTTATGCCATGATCCGTTTGATGTTCTTTTGTTTTGGTCAATATGAACTGCAATGTAATGTGGACCTCTTGCTTACAAACTGCATTTAAAGTGGTAACGTGACACATTGTGTTGTAGCAACAGTGTAGCGGCTGTAGCATGATAGTAGTTGTTAGTCTGTCATTTTCCAAGTAAAATGCAAGTAATCCTCAAACTGATGTAGATTTGAGTTTCATATTTGCTGACTAGTGTCTGACCAGCAATCTGATTTTAGTGTTCATGATAACTTGTACAACTGACATTTCTGCGGACTCAATTGTTTATTCTGGATGTGCTTTGGTGTTATACAAACTGGGAAGATCTATGTAGGATTCCATCTTCCTGCCAAGTGGAAATTAACAAAACAGATAATTATCCCTTTGGATTTATCATTCTTAACCCATCATGTTATGCAATCTGTATCACTCTCCTGTTTGACTGCTAGACTTTTTTAGAGTGCTCGTCGGCGATTCAGCTATATATATTTTTTCCAAGCATCAATTTTCCCCTAGACTTTTTGTAGTGTTCTTGTCAGTGATTCAGCTATGTATATTTTTTAGAAGCATCAATTTTCCCTTCTCTTAACTTTTCTATGTTAAACTTGCTGTGCATGATAGTATCAACATAGTGCACGTACAGCATGTAGATTGATCGTCCTTATTATTAATGAGCTCAGCTCCTTGATGCTCAACAGACAGGAAAAAAAAAAGAAGATTGGTGCTAATCATAGTGCAAATCATTTAACCAACATAGAATGTTTTTGTACATCATAATATATGCAACAAGTAACAATATTATCATAACTTTTGACATGAGCTATAAATTTAATTCTGGACATGCCACCATTGTCTTAAGTTGTACCATCGTCACTATAATAATATCATTACCAAAAAGGTTAACAAAACATAAATAATACTTGTCGATTGGCTCAAGCGGTATTATCGTTTAGGCTTGGCAGTGCCACCACCTCAAACTAGTTTAGGTTTTTTGTTTAACTTTCTAATGAGCTCAATTTAGTCCAACTTTAAGCTCAATGGCTTTCATGAGAAGTGGGTTCTATTTTGCCTTATATCGGTTTAAATTTGTCAAGAATGATATTGATAAAAACCTTAATAAATCAATCACTCATTTGGTATATTTTCGAAGGCTCTATTTTTTAGCATATCATCAATCATTCGACATGTCCACTTTATCATAACATTTGATCTTCTGATGCGATATTTGATATATTTTTTTTATCATACGATGTTCGAACCTCCAATTTGATATCTGGTACATGATAATGTTTTGATACAACGTCCGAACCTCCAATTCGATATTGGCCCATTGATGGTTCCAATACGTCGCTTATCTTAAAAGTATATCAATTCATCAAATTTATCAATTAATTTTGTCAAAATTTGGGTAACTAATTTGAAATAAAATAAGAGCTTACGTTAAAAGTATTGCCGGAGAGATCTAATGGACATACATCGAGGTATATCATTTTCCCCACGTCAATAATCAAATTCAAAGAACAGCAGCATTCGACTTAAATATCGTTCCAAATGCAAATATCCAACATATTCAACTAAAATAAGCTTCATGCTCGGTAGTGGTTTTATTTTCGACCGGTTCCGGTTCAAAGGGAACGGTTCGGTTCTAACACCAGACCCTGAAACCGCTGAATCGTGACCTACTGAGGTCCTTCTTTTCGGGCGTCATAATTATATACCGTCGTCTGTTTTTACCCACTTCCTCGCCCGCGATCTTCTGTAACGCGAACGAACGCATCGGGCCAGCGGCGGCTGTGACCAGCCAGGTACCTCGCCCTTCTCTTCTCTTCTTCATCCTCCCATTCTGTTTTCTTCCTCTTCGTACCCCTCTTTCTCCTCTCCGAGTTGGTCCTACTGGATCTGGTCGTTAACGGCCTGAATGCATCCGGAATCGGTCGAACCTGGCAGATTCCTTTTTGTTCCGGGGAGGTCGACAATCTAAAAGAGGGGGTCGGGCAGATCCGGAAGATCGTGGTCAAACATGGCCAATTAAGATCCGGATCGGCCAGTTTCTGCTAATTCTTAGATTGTCGAGACATGTATCACTCTGTTGTGCAATTTAAATATCATTTGCAAGTGTGTGTAAGCAACTAGTGATCGTAAGCATTGATAAACCTTTCTGAGAAAATTAGGAACAATTAAGGGTACCTATACTGGACAGTGACTGTTCAAGGGCCTGGTCACTGCGGTTGCTGTCCACTGCTATCCAGTCAGTGGGTCAACTGATCGGATTGTATATGTTTAATTTTAAGACGTATGTTTTAAACTGTAAAATATATATATTACATATAACATTAGAAAAAATTTGCAAGTAAGCTAGTTTGAGATATTCTGCTTGCTAAGGACTCGCAGAACCGACATTTTATACAATGAAAGAAATCTCTGAATGAATAAACCTAAGAACTAACTGCATGGTTAATTTAAAATTATCAAAAATATTATATCAGAAAGTATTAAAAAATTGCTAGTTGGATTGTATTCCGTATGTTAGGGAATTCCTGAAGAGAACAAAATGTCCGACCATAAACAACATTTTCCACAATGAAAGAAATCTCTGAATTAGTCTAAGAAAAAATAACATTAAATGAACCATTAATCGGTAAGATTTATGTATTGAAGGCCCAGAATTGGAAGCCACCTTAAAAGAATGTGGAGAAAAGAAGTAAAAAAATATTGCATTCATCAAGTAGTACAACAATGAAGCAATATTTAGAAAAAGGGGGAAAAGTTATAAACGACAACAAAAATCTAATACACTGGAAAGAAAAAAAAAAGGAATCAGTAGTGCATATTTTATTAAAAATCTTTCAGATTAGAAGAAGAGAAAGGGACAGTTTGGTGAAAAGGGTTGGTGATTTCTTCTGCTTTGAATAGTTAAGATATAGAAGATCATATGGTCCAATGCAATGGGTTGGAGGAAACTGCAGATTGGAAGGGATTGATGGCGAGGAGGGTGACAACAAGCATGGGAGAGATGGCATCTGTGAGGTAGGGAAAAGGTTACAGAAAGGTGATGTTGCATCACCAATCAACTTATGAAGTTTTCTAGAGTAATTTACGGGTAATTAGTTGAGTGAAGATTGAGTTACCTTATTTAAGCGACATATATGTTCTCAGATACATTGGACAAAGTTCAATAGGATGTAAAAAATCTGGTGGACAATAATATGGAGGGAATGGGAGTTACACTAGACATCTTTCCTTCTAGTTAATTGCAGATTCTATCGCCTTAGTGTGGAATTAGAAGTTCAATCCTCGTCTTGCACAAGTTGCACATTGGCCACCATTATGGTGGATGATGCCCCTTCGTGGACTTCTGTGCTTGAACTAGATTGAATGAGTCTTATGTCCTACTTTTAGTCAAAGGATGATTTGAGGCTTGCATCCTGTGTCTAATGTCCCTTCTCAAAAAATTGGAAAATGGGAAGAATAGAGTTATGCACATTTATATCCAGAGAGATTAAGGAGAAAAGATGCACCAAAGTGAAGTTAAAATGTGAGAAACCCTTCCATAAGAGGAATCTAACTTCCAAGTAGATAATCAATTGATACTTTTCTTTCTCAGTGGGAAAACTCTAATCTAAACACTCTTATCTCTGCTCCTGTTCGGGATTTTGAGTATGTTGCCAGAAAATGAGCTTCCTTATCTAGGTTAGTCTGATCAGAATCAATAAATGAATAAACAATCTGCAATCTGTACTTTTCTTAATGAAGTTAGTTCTTTCTCATTCACCATTCAGTTACATGAAAAATGTAATGAACAGTACCTAAGCCTAAAATATCTTTGAATACCATAAAACTTTATAAAAGAACACCAAAGTTATCTAACACTCTTCAGGCTATGACTTTGAAGTCTCATCATATAATGCCCTTTGTTTGGTATCCTTGTGTTTTAAATGCTCCAGTATGATCCATTATCTCCTTTACGACCATCAAGGCTTAGGTTTTTATCAAACATGTTTAACACTGTCAGGGAACATGGCCTGAAGATAAAAGAAATGATTGTCAACTGGAAGTTTTCTTTGTTTAAATAGCTTTACTCAATAATCTGGGCCTGTGAGCCCTCCTTTTGTATTGTTTTCCTTGGAAATTTTGAATATCTTATAAATAGCACAAGATTGCAACTTCATCTACTTAGAATTGGATCAGAGGCCTATTTAAGATTCATATTCGTTCAGTAGTAAATTGATTTTGTTAAACCTCTACTGTTAGTTTTCCAGTTGCTTAGTTCTATGCTTACAATTTGAATGGTTATGATGATAACATCAAATATTGAGACAAAATTTTAGTCAGTGACTGAATTAGCTGAATATACTTTGTGAAGTTCTTCACGGGACTACATGCTTGAAGAGAATAATATTATGTTCACCAACACACGATCCTCTCTTCCCACTGCTGTCAGATAAATATTAATTTTTGATATTTTCATTTGGAAAGTTGTAGAGCAACTATTTCTTTGCTATTTGACATTTATGTTATTATATTCTTTAATTATTAGTTGTCCAATTTTCTATTGCATCTTGGTTAGACTTGATAAAATCACATCCAACACACTCATCCCTTGAATATGAGCTAATGAAATTGTATCATATTGCTGACCGTAGGAAATTTCAACAAACAATTTTCTTTCACTGAATTGTCAACATTATATAACATGCAATTTTGAGAATCCTTTTGTGTAGACTAACTCACAAGATAAGATTTGGATTCTGATTCTTTTTGTGTGCTGTATCAGGCATCCAGGTACCAATTGTCATCTTTCGACTCCAATTATATTCACTTACGTGACTAGTTTTGGATTCTTAGATTTCTTTTATGGAAATTGCTTCAAGAACTATAGCTTCTGCTTTAAGACGTCTTTATGCTAGAAAAACACAGAACAACAGAATCGTGAAGGGATAATCTATTGAAGAGTAATGTAACACCAGGACAACAATTGGGACACTGGCACATTATTTACAAAGACCAACCAGAAAATTTGATGAAATGAGATTTCCAAAGCGGTATGCTATTATTTTATTGACCTTCATCTGCACAAGTGTATGCTACATTGAGCGCATCGGATTCTCAATTGCTTATACGGCGGCTGCAGATGCAATCGGTGTGAATCAATCAAGCAAGGGCCTGATACTTTCGACATTCTATTATGGATACGTCGTGTCACAAGTGCCTGGAGGTTGGGCTGCACAGTACATTGGAGGAAGACGTGTTCTGCTTCTTTCGTTTGTGCTGTGGTCACTAACGTGTGCTTTGGTCCCATTAGATGCAAACAGAATGTATATAATGGTGCTCTCCCGCTTGCTCGTAGGGGTGGCACAAGGTTTTATATTTCCGTCCATTCACACAATTCTAGCACAATGGGTCCCTCCGCATGAGCGCTCTCGTTCTGTGTCTCTTACTACTTCAGGGATGTACCTAGGAGCAGCCGGTGGTATGCTCCTACTACCGAGTTTGGTGAAATACGGTGGGGCCCAGTCAGTTTTTCTGGTTGAAGCATCCTTGGGTGTCACATGGTCCGTTATGTGGTTCAGGTTTGCTAGCGACCCACTTCGTTCTGAGCATCCGAAAGCCATTGCTGCTGGTTTTGGAGATTCCATGTTACCAGTTTCAACTCTAAAAGAGAAGAGAATCCCGAGCGCTGGAAGCATACGGTCCCTCGGTAAAATCCCATGGAAGAGAATGATATTCAGCTTACCAGTCTGGGCAATTGTGGTCAACAACTTCACTTTCCACTATGCGCTCTATGTTCTTATGAACTGGTTGCCAACATACTTTGAACTGGGCCTTCAGCTCAGTCTTCAGGAGATGGGATCCTCCAAAATGATGCCATATCTAAACATGTTCATATTTTCAAACATAGGTGGAGTGTTAGCCGATTATTTGATTACGAGAAGGATCTTTTCGGTCACCAAGACACGTAAACTTCTCAACACCGTAGGTTTTATCGTTTCTGCCCTTGCTCTAATGGCCCTTCCATCATTTAGAAATTCCAGAGGAACCGTGCTCTGCTCCTCGGTTTCTCTTGGTTTCTTAGCACTCGGGAGAGCTGGATTTGCGGTAAACCACATGGATGTGGCTCCAAGATACGCAGGAATTGTCATGGGAATTTCCAACACTGCTGGGACCTTGGCTGGTATCGTTGGTGTCGGACTCACAGGAAGGATTCTAGAGGCAGCAAAGAAAGACGATGTGGATCTTTCAAGCTCCGAAAGTTGGAGAAGTGTGTTCTTTATTCCAGGTTATCTCTGCATAATTAGTTCTCTCATATTTTTAATATTTGCAACGGGGGAAAAAATTTTCGAGTAACAAACCACTCCCGATCCATTTCCTGAAGTTACATTTTTTAGACTACTCGATATCAAAATAATGTCGAATACTGTTAGCTAACAGCATTACAAAGAGGGAATCTGTGGAATACCGGGTATGTATAACTGTTCACATCATCATTTGTTCTGTTATATTTCTAGTCATGTCAGTTGAATTAGTTGAGCTCATATAACTGTGTCTTGGATGACTTTTTGCGTAATTAGCAAAAGACTAGTGTCGGTCCTCTTTAGCGCTTCTTGGTAATTGCATTTTTCGTTTCTTCCTCAATATCTTTTGTTTTTACAACTGCTCAGTCATTTTATAAGCCACCACATTCTACCTGATATAGACTGAGCTCTGGACCTTTAAGAGCAGCAACTTCCGGTCGGTGCTCCGATGGGCTGCCGACCACAAATAGGTGCCGAGTTAGGGGATTACAGTAGCCCCAGTAAGGAGTAATTGTAGAATTAGCTATTGATACTTTTAAGACACTTGAAGAGATTTCTGCTGAGTGTTGGTCTGCATATAGACAATCCAGAAAGTTTTTAGGTCTGCCTTATAGATTGGTCTAATCCTTGCCAAAAAGTTACTACAAGGCAAGTTTGCCCATGGAGTCTTTAACTCATGTGATGGATTCTCTTGCCTCCAATCATTCCCCTCCTATAAGAATACAAATTCCTCACTCATGTAATCTTTCCTAAAGAATACAAGTCCAATCATAGGAGGTCGGACTATACATAGGGTAGGCAAAGGCTAATTACATATTACCTATACCGATCCTTGTACTTACAAAAGTGAAATATTTAACCTGATTGTTCCAACAAAACTCTTTCTCTTTTTTTATTTTTAATCATAAAATTATTTTTTTAATCTTGTATAGAAATTTTACTTTCGTAAGTACAAGGATCTCAATATAACTTCTGAAAGTATAGAGATCAGAATGTTAAAGATAACTAATTAAAAAGAATAATATGTAATTAGTCCTGTGTGTTTAATACTAAAAAGCTGAGATTCTTTTTAGTAAACATAGAAAAAATAGACATGAGTTAGACATGAGTCAAACTATACTTAAAAAATAGAAAAAAACCAGTCTAACTCACAATCACTCGAGTGAAAAACAAATACACACTATAACTATAAAAATGATAATCACTATATTTATACATCTATTTCGTATTTTTCAAGTCACTCTTTGTCTCTATCATCAGTAGTATTGTCATGCTCCGATATCTGAGATGTGACAGATGCATTAAAAATAGTCATGAGTTAGACTAATTCAAGTCAAACTATACTTTTTGCGAAAAAAAAAAAATCAGTCTAACTCACAATCACCCAAGTGAAAAACAAATACACATTATAACTATAAAAATAATAATCACTATATTTATAAGATTAACACTATACAAGACTCTCTTTTTTCTATCATCAATACTTTCATCAATTCATAAGATCCTATACTTCGATGATATAAGGAGACAGGAGAAGGTGAGCATTTAAATAAAATAGCTAGTAAGTAAGCAAGCCTCGCTCGCGGGACGAGTAAGCAAGAGTTTTGACACATTTATACTATTCACATCATATCAGTAAAAATAACACATGCGTTTTACGCAAGAAAATAATAAGTACAAAAATAATGAACAACTCAACTTCATCACATTCATTATGTATTTGTATTTACCTATTGATGTATTTCTTTTTGTTTTTCTCTTCATCGTACACATATATTATAGGGTTAAGGTTTATTTTAGCTCATGTGGACTACTTAAGTCCTTATGGTTTACTTGCGTCTAAAATAACTTTTACATTTTTAAAAATATAACATATAAGTCCCTCTCCATTTTAATCATTTTAACTCATAATAAACTATTAATATAATGATACGTGTAATTTAAGTAAAAAAAAAATCTATTTTTGCCCTTATGGTTTTTTATTTGTCTAAAATAACCTCTATATTTTTAAAAACATAGCATATAAGTCCCTTCCGTCAAGTCTAAATTGATAGATGTTAGAGTCTACTTACGTGACATGTTGACTCACAATAAATTATTAATATAATGATGTATAATTTAAGTTAAAAAAAATATCTATCTTGTTGAGAAAGACGAAACTATGGAGGCCGTGGTAGTGGACGAAGGCGAAGAGGTAGAGGTAGAAAAGGTTGGAGGCAAAGGTGAGGGGGAGTTGGACCATCACGTCATAGGCGTAATGAGTGGGGGCCAAGAGAGGACGAAGTGAGAGATGGTAGGGACAAAGATGTCCGAGAGGAAAAAGAGAAATCAAGAGACCATTGCATGCATAGCGTCGGACTAGTTGATATACATCCACTTGAGGTAAGATCGAAAGTTCCCGAGCTTGTTGTTAGCATAAGAGAGGTTGCATGTGTATGACACCCTGCTAGGTAGCAATGGCTCGATGCTATTACTGGTGGTCACTTCCACAATAACACCTCCTCCCGCAATTGATGATAGTCTCAATTTTTTAATTTAAATTATATGTATTATTATATTACTAATTTATTGTAAGTCAACATGTTCACATAAGCAAGCAAACTCTAATGTCTATTAATTCGACAAAAGATATATTATGTTTTTAAAAATATAAGGGTTATTTTAAATATTAACAAAATCATGAGGACTTAAGTGATTCATGACCAAAACTATAAGGGCTAAAATAGATTTTTTTTTAAACTTAAAACTACACATATCATTATATTAATAATTTATTATGAGTGAACATGTAAATAAATTTTAACGTCTGTTAACTCAAACTTGATAGAAGAAACCTATGTGCTATGTTTTTTAAAATATAATAATTATTTTAGATACGAATAAACTATAAGAAGTTAAATAATCCATGATCAAAACCACATAAGCTAATGAACATTAACCCTATATTATATGTCATATTCTTTTCATATATTTTTTTTAAATATAATAATTAGATAGTCGAACACATATTAAATATTATGAAGGAATCAAATCCTATCCTATAGACAAGTGGGCTTAAATAACATCCCACGTATCTGAGTCATAGATTTACCATTCAATAGTACATTTCTACTGAGATGATAGCACATTATCCCAAAAAAATTATCTGATAATATATTTTCTCTATAATTCTCCCTATAATGCGTCAGATACCACTCATACGACCTCCCTCATTGCCTCCGCCTTTGTAGACTCATATGAATAATATAGACTCAAATATTATCCCTGACTCAAATATTATACCAGGAATTCTCAATGAGACATAAGTTTTTATAGTTGAATTAATGAAAACTATAAATTATCATGACAAGGCAACTAAGACGTTTCTGAAACTTGCTGCATATCAATCCCCTTCCTCTGATTCAAACTTGGCCGTAATTAATTTTCAGAAGTAGTCTTTGTATCACCATGAACCCCGCTGGATTCTCATCGCTGCAGCTGACAACCAAATAAAGCATTGTTCTCTTTTGCTGCTACCCCTTCTCTGCTCCCGTTCAAAAAACACTGCATATGAATAATTTCTCCTACCGACGTCTGCCTTCAGCAACCACAACACTTAACACTTAACACTGGACCTCTGGTAGTCGGAGAATGTAATGCAAGTGGTCAGGCAGATTGATTATTCATGCAAACTCTTCAAGGACAAAGGTTTATGCCCCAGCAGCAAACCTACACAAATGGTATCAACGCAGAACATTGTATCATCATCTTGTCTGTTATCCCGGAATTTGACTAATCAACAACGAAAGCCTTTCTCTGTTATCCCAGAATATGAACAATCAGCATATTGGAACCACAGAACCTGAAACGGTCTATCGTTAAGCTGCCACCTCATCCTGCAGGAGGATCTCATAATCAACAACATAAAAATTGTATCATCATCTTGTCTGTTATCCGAGAATTTGAATAATCAACAACAAAAGCCTTTTACTGTTATCCCAGAATATGAACAATCAGCAGTAGTAGACAACGCAAGCATATTGGAACCACAGAATGTGAAACAATCTGTCGTTATGCTGGCACCTCATCCTGCAGGAGGATCTCATAGATGTCAGTTCTAAGATTCAACTCCTTGTCACGCATGACTTCCTGGAGATCTGATAGCTCTTTTGCAGACAAAATAGAGCTTAATTTCTGAAACCCATCAAGCCATAACCGTTTTGACCTGGAAAGAAAGAGAAAGTGGATTAACAGTGGCAACACCTATATGCAATTCTGTCATAGAAGAAGCAAACTTCACTCATGAATGTACCTCCTCTGACTAAGAAACAGCAACAGAATCAGGTTGATGCAAAATATAAATAAATAAATTAATTAAACAGTCATAATTGATTATATTTCAATAGTACTAACAAGGTCACAAGAAATTCAATAGCTTATTCCAACTCATCAAGGGTAGATCCAAGAGAACACCAGAAAAAGAGCACCGCAAGAATTACCACGATATTGATAAAACATAGATGATCCACGATACATGAAAGCTTCTGTATGACTTGAAACTCTCAAATGGAGTGCCACTGTGCTCTATGCAAGAATGAAGAATTTCTATATTCTAGTATGCCGAAAAAAGAATGCAAAGTATCCAGAGTTGAACAGACTATGAATGTGTCAGTGGACATCAAAGTATTCACAGATTCAAAGCAATGGATGCAGGTTCTCTTCAACTTTTTGGCAATACTTAAAAGAGGTAACAAGAAGCCATACATATAATCATGCAAATAGAAGTAGTGTTGTTTCTTATGCTCTGACTTTCCAATCAATTGCTGACAAAAAGGCAATGGTTTTAACTAACCAGACCAACCAAATGAAAGTCAAGGTACTAAAGCCATCTGCAGTATCTCATAGAAACAGAAGGCCTAACCTACTGGAATAACTGCAACTCACAAGATAAAGAATGGTAGATTCTGTCAACATAACAATATGCCAAAGCCGAATAAAGAACTTAAAAGAGCCTTCCTTGTAATAAGTCTTGCCAATAATAAACATGCAGCACCCAAAAGGTGAATGGAGAACAAGAAATAAAACATAGATGGCAGCACTAATCCAAATTAGTAGCAGTTGGTGGCTCATCTTTTATGGGCCAGGTCCCACCCATGGGATTTTCTTGCCAAAGTTTAAGCATGACCTTCAGCTGTGAGATTCAACTTACATCTTTTCCATAACCAAAAAGTAAAGCTGTAGTGTGACATACTTCTATTGATACACAACTAGGTGAGACCAGGAGGCATGTTGGAAATTGCACTTGAAGGAAAAAAACAAATTGACAATCATATCTTAACTGTGGAAATCCCACGAATAAGGGGTTCTGAATATAGGACACCTCATAATTGAGGGATTCTATAATCCCATGATTAAGGGAGTCTATCTCCTATTTTGGACGACACAATTAGGATCAAATCAGCTCATATTATAGTAAATAGATTAGAATGAAATATTGTACAGAATTAATTTCTTTAGTTGTACAACTTGTAATCAGCCAATATATCTTCCTTTTATACAGAAAGCTGATGAACAGAAAAATTGTATTCTTTTACCTCTGTGTTCATGTATCAAAGCTCGATTCCTACTAGAATCGTTTTGTTCTTTTTTTCAGCCTTAATTGCTAAAAAAAATTTCCTCTGTTATGCTACTCTTTAGATCAATCCCAACTATTTCTTTTTCCTTGTTTGCTTATGAGAAATTTGCACCATTATGTCTGGAGGAGAGAAGCTGAAACCAATGCTTCCATCTCCAACAAACAACTTAGGCAACAATCCATCCTAGCTGATTACAATGCACAAACTCAACAGGCAAAAATTTCTTCGTTAGTCTCAGTCTATAAAGTTGTATATTCGAGGAAGAGGAAAGATCGGCTATTTGACCGGATTAACGTCAACACCTGCAAAGGATGATCCCAAGTTTGGAGCGTGGGATTTTGAAAATTCTATAATCATATCATGGTTGATAAACTCTCTGGAACCAGAAATTGACTAAACATATATGTTTTTGCCAACAGCAAAGGAGTTGTGGAATGGTATGGTCGAGACATATTCAGATATGAATGATTCAGCTCAAGTATTTGAGATTACAAAGAAGATCAGAGATCTTAAACAAGGTAATACTAGGGTTACAAAATACTTTAATACCTTGAAGACACTCTAGCAAGTGCTTGATAATTTTTATGATTTTGAATGGTCATTTGCTACTGATAGTGCTCGGTACACAAAAAATGCTTGAGAGTGATCGAGTCTTTCAATTGTTGGCAAGTTTAAACAAAGAACTAGATGAAGTCTATGGGCAGATATTGGGGAAGGATCCATTGTCGTCTCTCCAAGCTATATTCTCTGAAGTTAGGAGAGAGGAAAGTAGAAGACAAGTCATGATGGGATCTTCTACTCCATCTATGGCTGCAGAAAATTCTGCATTTGTTATGACAGCTGAAATTAATTCTGCTGCTAATATTGTGCAACGGGAGATAAGAAAGGCAAAGTTTGATGTCATTTTTGCAATAAACCAAGACACACAAGAGGAACTTGCTGGAAGACACATGGAAAACCAATAAACTGAAAGAGCAATCGAGCTCCAAAGAAGGCTAATAACCAAGGATTTCAAGTAGACCATCAAGCTGCCACCAACTCTAAAGGAGTAGAAATGCCTCTGTTCACGAAAGAACAAATTGAACAATTTTTTAAGTTTCTGAACCAGTCCCAAAATCCTAATCCTTCTTCATCATCTTGCTCTTTGGCCAAGAAAGATAATTGTTTCACAGTTTTGTCTGCTTCTTTTGGTTATAAGGCTCCTTGGATCGTAGATTCAGGCATGAAAGACCATATGACCAACCTTTCACGTTTGTTTTCCTCCTACACCTTGTTCTGGAAACTCTAAATTAAAAGTTGCTGATGGATCACTTTCTTCTATAGCAAGAAAAGGCATGATTGCAATTTCAAATTCATTTGTATCAACGTCTGCAATACTGTACCGTACCACCCGGTACAGGCAATATGTACCAGTCCGCCAGCAAACCAGTATGCAAACTGCTTCCTACCGGGTGGTATCAGTCATTTGGCCTCGTATCGAGTTAGAATTAGGCTCTCGTGGCGGGAGAGAGGAGGAAGACCAAAACCCTCTCTCCGTCACTCTCGTGGTGGTTGCCTCTTCCTCCTCTCTCTTCTAGGGTTTCTCCTGCCCCCCAGCCACCCTCTCCAAGAATTGGGCCATCTGATCATTTTCAGAATCGCACACTACTCCAGCTCCTCCACGACCTCCAGATCCGACCATGGCAGCTGTGGCCCCTGCTCCTTTTGCTAACTGTATCCTTCCACCGCCTGGGGAGTCGATTCGTTGTTTCTCAATCGGTTTTCGCTTTGATTTTGACCTTCTTTGATTGGATCTGCTTGTTCGGTTGTTCTCCTATTTGTTTATTTGCATAAAGACTGATTTGGCTCCGTTATTTTAGATTTTTCAGGGTTTTCGTTGGGGTTTATGCTCGGATCAGATAGTTAGAGCCTAGTGAACGCTGCTCCTGGGGGCTTTTGCATCTATTAGTGTGTTTAGGGTTGCCAAAATGAGATTTTGAACTATGGCACCAGTACTATCAGGCAGTGTTTTCCTGCCTTTAATCTGTTTGTGTGTTGTATAATTTATCGGGAGATTTTACACTTTGGTTTCGCTATGTTTAGGCATACCGCTCTGTCACGGACAAACTTCTAAACAAGGTGTTTTATGTAATGCTTATGTATGTCCGTGTCTTTTGGCATGTTCATACCTTGTACAACATGTAGAGGGGCGGCCGAAGGCATAATAGTCCCATTTTAGTTGGGTTGGTGGCCTCTTTAGGCTTGTAAATAAAGGTTGTGTCATGTGGACACGTGCGAGAGCTTTTCGATCTGTAATGGACCATTTTACCCTTTGTTGTGCCACTGTTCAGAGCTTGTAAAGTCTGTTTGTAATTTGCATTGTCTATGAAGTGTTTTTCGAACATGTTTACTTGTGGATCCCGATTGAGGCGTTCTCTTTAACCCGTTCTCTCTTTTGTTGGTCCTAAGGGACAATGGGAGGCTTCGGGGAGGCTGACCTTTGCGGACGGACGCACGAGGGTGCCGCACGACTTAGGCAAAATCAGCTAAGTCCGTGTCATATGGTATCAGAGCGGGACAAGCACTCATAGAAACACTTAGCATGCAAACGTGGGGGACCTAGCGGGACTGCGTTAAGGGCAGTCAGCACACGCGCGACCGTTTGGGGGAAAACGGGCATGGAGATGTAGGGAAAAAGAGTCGCTCAGAGGAGCGGGCATCTGACATTGGCATTCAGAGGAATGGCCAACCCTTCGCGCAAGAGGCACCACGAGAACAGACAAGCTTGGAAGAATGTGGAGCGCACAAAGGTTGGGATGGTTGAGTTTGAGCTACGGCTCAACGTTGACAACTATACTTGATGGTGCTCTAGGCAAGCGAGGCGCTTGGCAAGAATGAGACCATGCAAGGTGGAATGAGTTGTTCAGCGATCGAAAGAGTTGTGCAAAGCTCACAGAGGTAAGGGGAATTGCTAACTCAAAGAATTCGGTACTCATGCATGGGCTTGTATGCGAACGATGGAGTGTTCGCGACCATCCCAAGGCGGCCGAGACTCGGCACCATGGAGCATTGAAACTTTCTCTTCGGCATGTGAAGGATACGTCCGTAGGAGGCTGAAGTGTGCAACAAGTTTAGCATGTTGCTAGGCCTTGAGTGGTGCAGGGGCTTGTATTGACGGGGAGTCGCAATCTAGCAAGTGCGTTTGCAGGAGGCAGAACAATGCACAGTTTGTCCAGCAGATCGGAGTAGTCCAAGGGGATGGTGGTCTCCGAAATGAAGAGAGATGTTGCTCCAATGGGACAGTTATCCAGAAGGGATAAGTCCCGGCTCTCCAGAGGGAGAATCATGTGAGACGGACCTCACATGTTGAGGAGGAGTACCTTAACAAACAACAACTCCACGAAGCTCGATGGACTGAGCCAACGGCGAGGAGTCGTCGCATGATCTCGCTTGAGAGAATGCATTGGTGGATGCATTGCGAGATCAAGTGGGGGAGCGACCTAAAACAACTTAAATGAAGGCACACTTGGAGTCGATGTGGAGATCAGACTCAAGGGAGGGCTGACCCGTGGAATGGTGGGCGCGAGGGCCACCATCGACTCAATGCAAAAACGAGGAGCGGAGCAACTTGGGTGTAACTTGGCGAAGTACCCAAGCCGCATGAAGGGAGCCAGCATAGAAGTTGGAACATGGAGCAGAGGCACAATGCTTTCCGTAAACAGAGGTCAAGGACATGAACTCTTATAGAGGTAAGAGTAGGATCATGTTGTTCCATGGGTCCTTCATTCTAACGGAGTGGACTCATCTTGCATGGTGCCAAAGACGAAGGGAGCTTCTGGGCACATGCACCTTATCTCGGAGGAGCATTTGATGGAGGAACAAAGGCGACTCAATTTGCGGAGGCGAAGTTGGGTTCAGAAGGCCTTAGCACGAGACAAGAGGACGCAGAGGCGGGTACTCTTGAAGAATATGCCATAGTGTTACCATTCAAGTTGCCATGAAGGAAGCGGTGCGCAGCGGAGATTGTGCTGGTAGGGGCAGAGGCCCAGGATCCAGGCAATGGTGCACAAATTACAGTGAAGTCGGTGGACTTCGGGGGCTACTAGGCGACGGACTGTCCTAGAGCGGTGCTTCATCTAGGTGTGACCCAGGAGTGGGTGGATGAAGGTCGATTGCCAAAGGAGCGAACAAAATCGAAGGTGGAAGAGACCCTGCGATGTATTGGCAGAGGCCACACATGGAGGGTTCACAATTCGAGTTTATTCCACAAGGATCAGAATGCAATGGAGATGTCACCAGGAGGCGACATGGTGCAGCGGATCGTGGTGGAACAGTTCGTGGGCAATGCGATACACACGACAGTCCCGTGAGGGATAAGATCATATGGAGGTATGATCGGGAGCTACTGGGAGCTCTGCTTTGGTGAACAACACGACGGCAAGAAGGGCTATGGATTCAAGGAGTGAAGGCCATGGTACCGCAGAGGCGGGTCTTCCGGGCGTGCACCGAATTTTGCATCGGATGAAAACCTTGGTCATCAGCATATGGGGCTGGGTTCCACCAAGGGAAAAGTTCGAATGCAAGTACCAGAGAGTCCCATGGGAGGGACTTGATCATGCAGAGGTATGATCGAAGCAGCTGGAGAGTTGGACAGCTCTAGAGCTCATATTCGCTTAAGGGAGCCCGACAAGTCAGAGGACAAGGTCGAGTAAGCGAATGTTGCTACCAAGGAAGCTAAGGAGAACAGAATCGGTGCAAACCTTATAATGCGATGGCAGAGGCCATGCATGGGAGTTGCAGTCTGTCTTTCCATCGACCAAAGGGAGCTGGTTGCAGAACACAGAGGTGTTGAAGCAGGGGGTCGAAAGGGGCGAGGAAGCGACGACGAGTCCAGAGGGACTTAGCTACCCAAAATCAAGCATCAGTTAGAATGGAGGTGGACTCAGAGGAGTGCCACGGAGACATATCTACTGATCGTGGAGAAAAGGGATGCAGAGGCGAGGCGACGGATAGTAGGGCCATGGGCATGGCAACGCCATGGTACCGCAGAGGTGGGACTTCCGTGAAAGTCATTGATCCCTTGCTCTCATGGA